GTTACATTAGTGGTTACTTTATCTGTAGACCTGCTAAATATGATGACTCATTAACTCCCCAAAGGCTATCATTAGCCCCAGATAACTATTAGAGCATGAGTCTAGGAATGGAATTATCTTTAAACAATTAGCTTTTACACCAAGATTTACCATAGACTCCCTGCTTTAGTTTGTCTGGCAGTGCTGCTAACCGAGTGAATCCATGCTCTGTATCTAGAATCAATTATAAAATCAGGTTCATTAGCATCTCAGGATCGGTGGGTGTCCTGCAGAATCCAGCAGTCTTGTGACAGATAAAGAGACAGGCTGGGAAGACAAAGTAAAGATTGCCCCATGCAGTGTGTCTAAGCAATGTCAAGTCCCGATCTTTGAGAATATATTGAATGATTGGCGTACTTTCCAGTCTATTTAAAATCTAAACTAAAGCTTTTGGAAGAAGTTAATATGTTGTGCACCAGGTTTGCCAAATCAGTTGTGTTTTCCAGAACAAATGTATTTTAAAGCCATTTTTACATTATGTTTACATATCCCTATATTTAACAAATATGTATTTGTAAGATGTGGTTGTCGCAATCTGAGTGCTGAGGGTAGGGCAAGTTCACACAGTAACGGAGGAACATACCATGCATGCACATACCTTTCAAGAGTTCAAATGGAAAAAGAGGAACACTTTAATTTTAGGGGTCTAGGTGTGACCATAGGCACGTCTGCTTTGAGAAATTCTAGGTGACTTACTAATTACAATTTATGCAACTAAAATGTAATTAAAAACAAAGTATCTTATTTACACAGACTGATTTCTAAACACATTTACTGTTGTTTAAAGATACATTACTACCGAGACTGCTCTACCTCTTCCAGGCCCTGCCCATCACGATCCCATCCTCTTTCTTCGCCAAGCTCCGGCAGGCACTAGGGGCTTTTGTTTGGGACGGGAGGAGACCCAGACTGAAATACACACTGCTGACTCAACCCAAACACAAAGGGGGTCTGGCTCTACCGGACTTCCGACTATACTACAAGGCATGCCACCTGCAACGTGTTGCGGAGTGGTCCAAGACAGGGGTCAACAAACTATGGAAACAGGCAGAGGAGGGGATAGCTAAGCTCCCAGCCGCCCTTATCCCGTGGCTCCCCGCGGGGACGGACGGAAGGGAAACGCATTACTCCCCGTATACGAAAGTAACTCTGAGGATATGGCGAGGCAATGCCGGTAGACACGCGCTTTCCGCACACCCGTCCCCATTGCTTCCCCTCACACATAATCCTGACTTCCCGCCGGGCACGGACCCTAGGGCACTGCAGGCCCTGGTGCAGGACCCAATGCCAAGGCTGCACCATGTGTGCTCCGGTCGGGGGCTGAGGACCTTGGCTGACTTATGCGGGGGTCACACACAACCATTCGCAACCCACTTCCACTACGCACAGCTGATGAGCTACATAAAGACCCTGCCCCGCGCAGGAGCCATTACTAGGGAACTCACCGCCTATGAACAGATATGCGCAGACCCTGACCCATTGCCACATGGCATCTCGCACCTCTACGCCCTCCTACAAACACTCACACCCATGGCCGCGCCACGCTTCATGGGGAAATGGGAAGAGGCCCTCAATCACACACTTAGTGGGGCTGACTGGGAAAAGATCTGTGAGGTCACCCACCATTGCTCCATTTTTAGCAAGAGTCAGGAGACAGCTTATAAAATACTCACGCAATGGTACTGTACCCCGGACACGACTCAATACACGCACGCTCACGGGTCAAGCCTATGCTGGCGGTGCGCAAAGACAACAGGTACACCCCTACACACTTGGTGGGCATGTGAACTCGTACAACCATTTTGGAGGAAAATTCATAAAATAGCTTCCCGCTTCACCGATAACCCACCACCATTAGACCCGGCAGCAATGCTGCTCCACCACACGACTATACCAATTTCTAAATACAAAAAGTCCCTTACAATTCGAATTCTAAACATGGCCAAGCAGACTATACCACAATACTGGAAGAAAACAGAGACTCCTTCCATACTTAAATGGTTTACGCACATGGAAGAGCTACGAGCGGTAGAAGAGCTCGCCATGTCAGATACTGAAAAACAACATCAGACATACTTAGACATCTGGACCCACTGGATATTGACCACGACGACACAAGACTTCCTGACACTGCTCCATACCTAATGACAGGGAGTTACACCGGCTGGACAGACACATGGACGACGGACAGACCCTCTTCCTCCTTCCCTACGCTTACCTTACCCCCCACTTACCCTCCCATATACTAAAATGGGGGATACCACCCCACTGTCAAAAGTCCACCAGACAGGGGCAACATACCCCCCAGTATGTATATCCCCCTCTGACATGGGACCTCTGCCCACTATATCACCACAGTCCATCAATGACTAAGGTCCTCATTAGATGTGACCTCTTGAGAACAGGTCATGACTGGACCACAATAGTCCCTCTCTCACATAAGGATAATACAACTATGTACACTTGAACACTAGAGGGGCAATAGCGGGGAGGGCAACAGACAGCATAGAAGTAGGCAAAGAGCCCAGTCCAAGGGGCTGACAAACTAGACGAAGATGGATGATCTGCCCCAAACAACAGGGGAACGTGGGATTAATGAGAATTCTCTGGGGGGGGGGTGGGGGACTCTGTCTAATTAAGCTTTACCGTTGACTTAAGGGACCTGTGAGTCCGACTTTGTTATTGGGCCTGCGTGCCCGCCTTGTTGCATGTTTTCCTTCCTGTTCTTTTTACTAATACGCTGAATACAACCTACAGACCTGCGTGTCTGCACAATAATTACCTATTATTCCCAACTACAGGAAATAAAAATTATATTTACAAAAAAAAAAAGATACATTACTAGAGTGGCAGAGCCAAGCAGCAGAGCTAAGCAGTCGCATGAGGACAGGGATTCTGAGCCTTTGGCCTGAAAC